TCAACTTATCAGGGATTTGATTCGAGGGTGTGGAATAGCGTTTCTGTCCCGTGCTGTGCCCTGTGGGGAGGTAGAAGGGCACAAATTGGAGCAATGAAACAGCTTTAACCCTCAGACCTCCTGTTTCCAGTATCCAGGTTCCCTGGCCCTTCCAGGCACAACACCCTAACCGACTTCATCCCCACGCTTCTGTCCCTTTACTCGTGCAGAGGCTCCCAACCTGCATGCTGTCCGTCATCTCCCCTGTATGACTTAAACCATCACCGTTCCCCAAAGCAGCCTGCTTTGCACTTTTATTTTGTCCATTATGCAACAGGCTGGGGTGAGTGAGGAAACACAATCGAGCTGATATGCTTTAACCCATTGATTTCACTGCCAGCAAAAGAAACAAGAGCAATCGGGGTCTGTAGAAGTTGTTCTTGTATTGACAGATGAACTGAGACTCGCTGATTAATTTCTCTCCCTCCTGTTGATTTCCTGGCAGACTGCAATAAGGTTACTGACCAGTGCCTGTCTTACTTTAAACGCTGCGGAAACATCTGTCAGATCGACTTGAGGTACTGCAAGCAAGTGACAAAGGAAGGCTGTGAGCAGTTCATAGCGGAAATGTCAGTAAGTGTTCAGTTCGGTCAGGTGGAAGAGAAACTTCTGCAAAAACTGAGTTAGTTAAAGGACAAGTGTGTAAATATTGGGGCAAGGGGCGGGAAAGGGACTAACAACCTGCAGGATTTTATTTTCAATTGGAAACTTGGAATATATCAAAGATTGGATTTTACAAGTCCTGTCAAGGAGAGAACAACATTTAAACTACCCACGTAAGAATTTCAACCTGTGCCACTAAGTCAGTCTACCTGGGATGTCCTGCACTGGCTCTTATGCAAATCCATAAGGCGACTGTTATTGATGATAGATGCTCACACCCGGAAGAAGACTGATCATGAAGAAATACTGTTATTTAAAGTACCACAGCATGTGCTTGGTAGTGTAAATTTAATTTCCGCTCCTCATTTCTTAAAAACAAAAAAAGTTGGTGTCATTGAAGTGGACCATGCACTGCATTTCTGCCTTCTTAACACGTTTTGTTTTGTTACATCTGACATTATGCAGAACTATTTTTGTACAAAATTGTTTAAAAATTATTTATGCAATGTTTGAATGCATTACCAGTGTTTTGGTTTCGATTGCCAATTTTTATCTTTACTTATGGTAGGAGAGAACTTAACCTATACTTCGTAGACAATATCCATCTCTACAAAATGTGCCCAGGTCAGGAAAAGTAGGTTAATACTTTCAACTTAAGCATGTTTTAATGGAAGTTTATATCCTGCTTTGTATACTTCAGAAGTGACATAAGCATGTTGTGGAAATAAGGTGTAAATTATAGTTGAAGTAAGACACTTTGCCAAGTTTTATCTGTATAGAAATCACCTTTTTCTCAAAATTTTAAAGATTCCAATTTCAGCTTTTGCACATAGGAGGGTTTCACTCTGTAGCATGAGCTCTTGTACTCAATATGAAATTTAATTTATACAGTGAGTCAAGCAGTAGAATAAATGGTCAAGCGTAGTCTTTTTCTCTTTCTTTGAAGTGTGAGTTGAGTTCTCATTTAAGGTTTATGACATGGTTATTTCCTGATTGTAAAATTCTGCATTCATAAGTGCCATTGTTGTAAGGTGGTGTTTTCGTAGACCTTCCTGATGCAGTTTTACCTTTGTTGAATTTGTATAAACAATTGTACAAAACCAGACAAAGCCTATGAGGGTTTCTGTTCAAGCACAAGTTGATGAAAATCATGTTTTTGTTTGCAGAGTCAAAAGTATTAACAGTGCAGTTATCTGAAGAGTGACTTTATTAAAACTGATTATACCACTTTTTACACACCAGCTCTGGTCCCTGCATGCTGCTGTCATGTCTGCTGCCTTTGGAGACGGAAGTAAGTGGTTTTTTTATGACACTTTACTCTTTTAGCTTTGCAGGTTAATGCCCACGGTTGAGCATCTGCTTCCTAGTCTGTGCTCAAAGTGAGAGACACGCCTGCAGGATGTCCTGTACCACCATTACTTACCAGAATTCAAGGGTCTCAGAAGCCAGCTATTGGGGCAGGTCTCTTTTAAAGCCTGCTACCCTGACTTGGGCACCCTGCATTGTTCAGCCCCAGAGCTCAAGCTCATAAATGCTTTGGTTAAGATTTAACCTCAAATCAGAAGTTTCTCAAGCAGGATCTCTGCTTTCCCATACCACACCCAGAAGCAAAGTGCAAAAGGGCAAGTTGCAGATAATGCAGCTCTTAAGTCTCTTCTTAAGTTAAAGCCCAACAAAGCTCACTTGAGTGAAATTCTCTGTTTGATGTTTTATCTCATGCTTGTTAAATACAGACACTGGTGGATTCTAAAGCTACAAAAAAAGGAGCTAGTTGTACCCTAGTGTAGTTCAGGGAAGGCCTCTGTGAGCAGTATCATGGGATGAAAAGTGAATGGGGCCAGAACACGGCAAGTAGCTAATGCAAGGTGCTAATTAAGTGCGTGGTTGTTGTTCAGTGCATCTATTATTTACACATGTAAATTCAGATAGTATATACTACAGCCTCACTGTCAGTACAGCACAACACACCACTGCACAATCCTTGGGACATGAAGTGATTGAGGCAGCTCAGTTATCTTGCACAGATTGTGTTTTCTTCTCTAGGGTCTCAGAAGCACAGAGCTCAGCAGTGCTAAACACCAGAGAGAGTAGCGTTAAACACACAAGGAATTAAACATTTAAGAATTAATTTGACTAAGTCAATACAGCTGGGAGAGGTGATTTAGTTTGGAGAAACCAAACAAGAGGCCAAGTCAAACCAGTTACAAACCTTTATTGAGCTTGCATAGCCATTGTTCAGATCAGAAGTCATGGATACGCTGTGTGACAAGTCCTTGCGCATGAGTTAGCTAATTCAGTACCTTCTCTATTGTTTAAAAAGTTTTTGCTAAAAAATAAAGCCATTGAGAGGTTTATTTTTTTTGCTCCCTTCTGAAAAATAAGTAGCCATGTCATTTAAGTTGCTCAGTTACAAGTATGACATGAGGTTAACATTCACTTCCCAAGATATTTTATTACAACCTGTACAAACTTTGATAGGAGCCACTTGCTTACCTGGCACCCATCTTTGCTCATTTAGCAGAGAGCAAGCTTGTATAATAGCTCAGGAATAGTTTTCACGAGATAAGAGCAGTGACAGCACCTTGTGCAAATGTTTTCTGGATTTTACAGAATGACATAGAATACTGTAAACTAGGCACAGTAGAAGATATCCCCTTAGCTCTTCCCACCTCTTCCATACCCTCCCTGCTGCATTTCTATTACTGTCTCCAGCAAGTGATGCATTGAATCAAGCCAGGGAGAAAGCTGCCTACTCCATGAACAGAAAACTAAATAATTTTGCTGCAGCTGCTAAAAATTGCATCTTGTCCACCTAGAGGAGACCAGGCAGTCTGCTCACCAAGCCTTTAAGTCTTGATTTGAGCATTATTGTGCAACTCTGCAGTTACTTGGCAATAAGTGTTCACTGTAGATGCAACACTGCTCAGAGTTGTCACTACATAACTAGAGCCTGAAACACTGGTAGATCTTTTCCCCCCCCCCACTATTTTTTTTCCTCAGAAAATGAGTACTCGATTACAAGTGCCAGCATGACACAGCAATCTCTCTCCTCGGAACAGAGACTGTGGCAATACTTGCATCCCAGCATGGCCCCTCTAATTCCTCGCAAAAAAGTCTGTTCCTGATGAGCTGCAGGGATCATGTTAGCAATCTCTATTCCAGATGGGTACTGACTGCTGCCACTGACTAGTTCCTAGATGACATCAAACCAGAGAGAGAGACTGACTTTATGTAGGCTTCTGAACAGATAGCCAGCAATTTCTTGCCTCGATTCAGCCACCTGGGAGTTAAAAGGTTCAGCTCCCACTCATTTTTTTTCTCTTCTACTCTCTTTCACTGCACCTTTTAGACAGACTGGTGTCAGGTTTAGAAATAATATTTTGGAATGTATACTAGCAGTTGCAGGCAAACTCTCCTGAGCAGCATTCACATTATTACAATTATCTTTTATAAGAATACTAAGTATTTACAGCAGGCTTGTATGGATTCGGGAGCCACCAGCATTATCACCTGTTAAAAAGCCACTTCAAAATTAGATTTTATTCCCTACCTAAAGACAGTTTGACATTACTAGGCTGATTCTCTTTGATAAAGAATGGCCAGAGTACACACATAATGGACAGACATTAGAAATATTTGTAGGCAAAGGCAGTGATTTCTACAATCTTGTTTTTAGAGACTGTCTTGACACCACTGTACAGCCAGTGTCAAAATAGTTACATTCTATAAAACTTTTTTATGCATATTAAAGATTTCAATGAAGTCTACTGGTGTAGTCATTGTTCCTAATGCACCAGAACATGTAGTCACCCAACAACACGATCAAAGTTAAAGCAGTACTTTGTGATTACAATCATTCAGCACATTAACATAATGAATAAAGATTGGGTTATTCTTCAGAAGAGAGCAATAAGTGATATAAATCAGCTGTAAACAGTTTGACTTCAACAGTTTGTGGTTTTATAAGGTAATTCAGGCAGCTCTAGCATTCTACACACAGGCATCATATTGCCAAAATGCAAATGTAATTATACCATAGAAAGTGTTTGACAGACTTTAGATCCTGCTCTACAAAATGTTACGATTTTGATATTGAAACTAAGGTCTGCCCTACAGCCCAAGCTCAGTCACTCACTCTTGTCCACAGAAATCCTGGAAGTCAGCACGTGGCTAGAAAATCCATTGCTGCTCTTCGTTTAAGACTTAAATACATGCACTGCCCGTACAACGTACTGCCGGCAGATGGGGCACTCGCTCATCCTTTTGCCACACTTTGTGCACGTGACCATATGACCACATTCCAGAAGAACACAGTCAATGACTGCATCCATGCAGATCCTGCACAGATTATCATCGTTGTCATTCAACTGCATCTTCTCTCCTTCTGCAAAGCAACAGCACAGGGATTGAGTTTAGACATGGGGGCTACTGGGGAATGGGAAGATGATGTTTCAGAACCGTTCCTTCTACTCTGGGCAACCCCCCAGACCCATGGTTAACCCCATGGACTAGACTTTTAACAGTAAAGCTGAATCATGGGCAGACATTTAAGTCTGGATGATTTTGCATTTAGGATTCCATCCCCGTGGGTCAGAATGCCTACTATGTTGCTCGGTATCTGTTCGATGCTTCGACAGTTGGGAAAAAAAATCCTGAAATAGCTATGCACGGCTCACTGCTGGGTGGTCTTGGTGAACGTGCTGTAGCCACATCGGTGAAGTTACTGGCAAGAGTGGCTTGGTGAGAAAGGTGGCAGGGGAGGGAGTAGGGACAGAAGACCCTCCTCTGCCCGCATCAGAAATAATCCCACCAAAACTTAATGAAACCCCAGTGAAGGTTTTCAGTAGTGCAGTTTTTACCACAGCTGGGAGTTGGTTGAAACTTCTTGTCAACCATTTGAGCTGATGGAGGAGCTTACATACATAACCTTCCCTTGGCAAGGCCAGGAGCAGAGAACAAGAAAGTGAGAACTAAATATAAACCTACGTGTCTTGTGATTTTCCTCACTCTCCCTGTACAGTCTGTTCACTTTTTCCACAAGTTCCCACTTTTCACAGCATCCTGAATAGTTGACAAAATTACGAGCAAGTATCTCCTTCAGCTGGCGAACATTCAACCCTTCTATGTCTTCCAGACTTGAAATGTCAGACAGTGATGCCCTCGCTCGCTTTCTGGACAGCCCAGGGGTCTGAAACACAATTTATGTGGCTTTAACAGTTTCTTTCCTGAAGAACTCGTTACTGACACTGCTGATTATTCTGGCCAAATTCCCCCAACCCCAGTGTCAGATGAGAAGCAGGTCTAGTATTTCTCTTTAGGTGATTTTTACACATCTCACCTGCTCTTCTGCAGCATCATCATCTTCATTTGCTGAAGGGGTTTCAGCTTGGCCCTGCACACACAATGAGTCAGATCAGGATACACACGTAATCTCCTCCTAAAACACTTCCCTTCCTGCACTAAACTAGTCAGAGGTGACACTAGTATCTGAAAGCCACGGTTTTTAAATGGCTGCACAATCAGCCACTTTACAGGCTTTGTGATCAGTCTTATCCCAGCTTCCAGTGTTCTTCTAGTGTTGGGGTAAGATATAAAACCCTCAAAGCCTGCTTTCCCCACAAAGGCCCACCTCTCACCCACTTGGAGGCTTTCAGCAAGTCGGTCTGCTCTGCACACATACAACTGCTAGTACTGTACCTGTAAAAGGGTTCCATTTCCTGCGCTACCCCTTCTGCTTGCAAACTCCCCTTGTGAGGACGACACCGATACAGACATTGAAAATGGATGCGTAAAAATACTAGAAGTCTGTGACCGTGCAGAATGCAAGCTGCTAGTGTCCGTGCTCTCCTCCGAGCGTACTCCATGGTGACACAGCACAAGATCCACCAGGTCTTCTTTCTCTCGACAGGTATCTGTTGGGATGTTTCGGAGAATAAGATACTGACGTAGATCCTTCACTTTCAGTCGCATTAACTGAGGCCGCTGGAACGCTGTCTCTTGTAACAAGTGACACGTAGAACATCTTCGGAGATTTTCTTGTAAGACTGAACAAACTGAGCAAAAATCCTTCTTGCAGTCGCAGCACACATGCTAGACCGGTAGA